GTTTTATCTGTGTAAAATAGATAAAATTTGCTTGTTTATATATGTTTTGATGGGTCTTGTAAGCACATGCTGGGCACTAAGGTGTATGACACATGCAATAATAAAATTACTTGGATTGACTAAATCTTAAGTTGGCCCATTTTTTTCACAAATAAAAATGTGCAAAATCATAATTCACCTCTTTTTATTGTTAATCTAAGATTTGATCAAAATGGAGGAAGGGAATCTTTGCATCAGGATGAGATGCATCTCGTAATTATAACACATTTTCTCGCAAATATGACATCTTTTCTCATAAACATGACATCTTATCTTGCAATTGTGACATTTTCTGGTAATTATAACATTTTCTTGTAATTATGACATCTTATCTCCCAGTTGTACCATTCCATCTCGCAATTGTGACATCTTATCTCGTAATTATGACATCTCACAATTATGACATCTTAAATCGCTATTATAACATCTCGAAATTGTGACATATTTTCTCGCAAATATGACATCTCGCAATTGTGACATTTTCTCGCAATTATGAGATATTTTTTCGTAATTATGACATCATATATTCCATTTATGACACCTCGTAATTATGACATATTTTCTTGTAATTGTGACATATTTTTTTGTAATTGCGACATCTTTTTTCATAATTATAACATCTCATAATTATGAGATTGGGAGTCTATTTTTATTTGATGAATGTAGTGCTTTTCCATACAAACTAACAAATAAAACCAACTAAATATTTTATTTGCATAGTAATAAAAGTGCTGTTGTTTTAACTTGTTTTTTTTTGTAAGGCATTCTGTCAGAGTGAAATTAGTTTTTTGTCAGTTTTCTTTAGGTAGAAACATTAAAGAAATAAACTTTTATCTTTCCTCCTGTGTTGCGCTCGTCTGCAGGGTCACCACAGTTGTTTTCCTGCAACCATGAATGACAATGTTTTTTCTTAATAAGCTATCTGATTTCACAGCTTTATCTGCGTCTTTCTGACAGAAAAGACTGAATTTCAGTTTCTCAGTTTTATTTTTCCTCTGTGATTCTTCTTGATGTTTCTCCTGTCTGCCTTCAGCTGGCAGACTGTAAATGTCATGAAACCAAATGAACATTTCACAGTTTCTCTCCGCTTTAAAAGCTATTGTTAACTTTTCTCAACCTCCTCAAAGCAGAACAATGACAGTGGAGGCTGAAAACAGCCCTGAGTGAAAAATCCATCTGAGAGGTTGGGCTGGAAATGAAATGATTTTCAGATGAAGGAATAATGACCCTCTGTCAGTCTGTCTGCTGGATTAGATGAAAACTTAAAGGGTAGAAAAGAAACCGTTTCTGCAATTAGTTTGCATGTGATGCTGGGTGTGTGTGTGTGTGTGTGTGTGTGTGTGTGTGTGTGT